ACGACCTTCTTCCTCTGGTCCTCCACGGTAACTGACAAACAAAACACAAATTGCCAAATGTTTTGTCGCCACAGTAATGACATCACTAAGAGCAGCCTAATACAAGTGAATTGGTCTAATTCCAAGTTGCTTGACTACAGCTGTTTTCAAACCGATTGCAGGAACACTGCATAATGATTTGTGAATTTTCACTGGTCGCATTGCTTGCTTGTTAAATTTGCTGTTATTTGAATATTTCTGCTCTCATGGACATTCGGATTACCTAACACATCATACAGCTGAATGTGGTGTTAGTAAGCTGTGCTAGTTATAGTTATGCAGATTTCCTGTCTTCAATTCTTCGAGCTTTTGCACGGTTATCAATTATGTACTGGGACTTTAAAATGCGTTTCACCTTGAGTAAGTTAGTGCTAGACAATTACATTGTTTTCATTATCATGAAAGCTCTGCCTAATACCTTTTGCTTGTGTTATTCCTTTTGCACTGGTCACTTCGATTCTATATATCGGTTTGTTTTTTTTTCAAAACGTAGGACGTCATTCAAGTTGCATTGTCTCTTTTGTCGGACATGGTTTTTTGGTAAGTAGGAAGCACAATAGGGTAGCTATGAGATAACTTTAGTGGAAAGTTTCAAGACGTCTTTCGTGCAGTAAATTGCATTTGTCACGCCCTTATGAATGACAGTTTTTTAGAGGCCACGGAAGAAAACAGCAAATTCATTTATTCTAGGTACCCAAGATCTGTCTTCAAAACTCTGACTCAAGACAAAACCGCAGTTAAATACAGCAATTCTTCAAACTTTTTCTTTCTCTTAACATTGCTGCGTCATTTATTCGTAGTTTGTTATCGTGAAGTAGGCAATTTGGAACACTAGGTAAACTCGCGGCTTGCAATAATTATAGTACAAAATACGTTTTTTTAGATTGTACGATATTTACCTTAAAAAGACATTCTAAAACGATAAAATCAATGTTTGTTGCTTAGTGCACTATTCTAAGAAGTGCAATAATCAGCCCAGAATTTCACAGCCTTCGATCCAATTAATTTAGTGGACTTTACATTGCATCGAGGAACATAGTGTGTGAATTCGGAAAGAAGTAGGTATTGTGATCGCATTTATGCCATTACCCCTGTGTTAAGTTTTGTTTGAGCTAATCAATCACATTAGAATTGGGTCACTTTTACGAGGGTGTCGTCCATGCCGGGGGTTTGGCGTGAGTCTTCTGTAGATAGTTTCTAAGTTTGTCGTATATTATTATTGACGGCACAATGTCGAATATTAATCAGAGCCTTGCAACTGGAGACGATGAGAAAGACAGATTTTTGTTTACTTCTGAGTCCGTTGGTGAAGGCCATCCAGGTGCGTTTGATTCGACAAATAAATAGTTCTGTTATAGATAAGATTTGTGACCAGGTCAGTGACGCCATCCTGGATGAATTCTTGAAGGCAGATCCTGACGCAAGGGTAGCATGCGGTATGCACAAATTTTGGTGAATATGTCTTGTAGAAACATTTACAAAAACCGGCATGATCCTTATTGGTGGTGAGATTTCATCTACCGCCACGATCGACTTTCAGTCAGTTATTCGACACGTCATCGAGCGGATCGGGTACGATGATTCGCGTAAAGGATTTGATTACAAAACGTGTAATGTGCTCACAGCAATCGAACAGCAAAGTCCTGATATCGCTCAATGTGTTCACGAGGGTCGCACAATTGAAGAGTTGGGTGCTGGTGATCAGGTGCGTTCATAAATGCAAATTGTAAATAAGGGCTTGTTGTCGTTTGGTTTTCTGAATTTTTTGTGATCACCTACAAAAGTCACAGAATGACTCGTGTGCTAAACTTCGCCTATTCTGCAGTCGCGTATTCCTTTAGTTGAAGCACCTAATTGTGGTCGTTGTCACCTGCTAACTGGTGCGATGTTTGTAAAATGACATTGCCGTAGGTTTTTTTTATTCAACCTAATATTTGTGGCTTTGGATGTTTTCTTGTGGCGTTTTAAGTGTTGGGTGTGTTTATTCTTGGTTGAGACTCGGTTAGGTAACTCCTTCTGAACCGCTAATCCTCGGTTTAGGGACTCATGTTTGGCTATGCAACTGATGAGACCGAAGAATGTATGCCCTTGACCATCGTTCTAGCTCACGCTCTGAATGAGCGCCTTGCTATTTGCCGTCGAGATGGTACTCTCCCCTGGGCTCGGCCGGATTCAAAATCACAGGTGAGTTATTACCGATTTATGCGCATTGGCTTCATTTATGTCATCATGCTTGGTCCTCTGCCGCTCTGTTAAGCAGACTTGAAAAATTACGACGTGTGGCAAATTGAGTCTTTCTTTACCGAGCACTTAAATTGATCAGCGTGTTTCCTTTCGTATTGCAATTCAAACATTGACCCAGTCACAAATTGTCATTGCTTCGCTGGTTCTTCGTGGCTGAAGCATGTGGTGCTAAATGTTCTATACTATACATGTATTATGTCATTGTAGTCTCAATAGACCTGTAATGTTGTCTGTGTTTATTTTAAAATCAATGCTTCAAAACTGACGTTTGTGCGAACTTGACCAGACCTGTTAAAAGGTATCACCTTAAATTTTGTGTAGCCATTTGATGTGTTTCAGTAAAATTTGAGCAGAGCATTGTTATTTTACAAAATGTTTGCCACTCAGTGGCGCTAGTGTCGCCTTTATCAACTGTTTTAGGTAACAGTGGAGTATTTGAAGGACAAGGGTGCTTGTGTACCACTTCGTGTTCACACAGTAGTTATATCCATCCAACACGACCAATATGTCAGTCTGGAACGCCTTCGCTCTGAGGTAATGGAACACGTTGTACGACAGGTGATTCCATCACATTTCCTCGACAAAGACACTATATATCATATCAACCCCTCCGGTCGCTTCGTCATTGGTGGACCACAGTCTGACGCCGGTCTAACAGGTCTTTTCACCTCCCCAGAAATGCACTTTGCAACCTCATGCAAAACCAAACACGTTAAATCCTCATGATACTTATAGCGAGACGGTTGTTCCGGCCTTTTGGTTGTCATCATATTCCAAATTGATTCCAAGTCCTTTATCCACTAAAGTAGTTATACGGCCAACCAGGTCATTAAGTGTTCTATTCACCAATGGACTAGGTATGCCTCTAAATGCGATGTTTACTACATGGGCACAAAGGCCTTGTTTTTATTCGGTAACCGTAAGTTGTCCCTTAGTGGAGCTCAAAATGGCTTTGTCCACGTCTCGGTTATGTTGGTACGACCCGAAACTTGTCTATTTATAGGTCGAAAGATAATTGTGGATACTTATGGAGGCTGGGGAGCACATGGTGGAGGTGCATTCTCGGGTAAAGACTGCTCCAAAGTCGACAGATCGGCTGCGTATGCCGCTAGGTGGGTGGCCAAGTCTCTTGTTAAGGCTGGTCTCTGTCGGCGTGTTCTTGTGCAAGTAAGTTGGCTTGTGCATGTTCACAATTGCAAAATTTGTTGATTGTACACGTCACAAGCGGCATTGTTGCCCAGGTTGAATGTATTTAAGTGGTTGCTGGCAGATATTACAGGTTTCAGTCACACTTAAATAATCAGATGCACCACCTGGTTGAGATTGTATGTGGGTTTTCGCCCTCATGTCTCTTATCGCTGGAACTTGAGGTTTGCTTCTCAAAGATTACTTCATGGTAATCCCGTTTCTTACAGTTGTCTTACGCCATTGGTATCGCGGAACCACTAGCTGTATACGTAGACAGTTATGGAACGGGAAAAATGCCAGACTCCGAACTCCTACGGATTGTGAAGGAAAACTTCGACCTCCGTCCAGGTGTCATAATAAAGTGCGTTCCTTCGAAGTTATTAAATGCATGTAAACCACTGTCTCACGCAAGCTCTCAGCTCATCATGTTCGCTGTTAAATCGTTCGTTCGGCCGAGGTTCGCGGTAATGCCGCGGAATCGAAACAGAGAATATGCAGTTCGTTCATTATAGGAGAAGCTTATAGGCTATGGAAATACCCAGAGACCAGGTGTCTGAGGTCCCTGCTTTTTCGTGTGTTCTCGGCTCTGTAATATCGGACGTTAACACAAACCAGATAAACAAAATTAGCGGAATTAATCAATTAACTAGAATGCGAACCTATGTTCAGTGTGGCTGATTGCCACTCGTGTGATAACTTCTTGTGGTTCTGGTCTGCAGCAAGAAGTGTGTAAAGTAAACTCAACAGAGAATAACTCGAACATTAATGAGCGATCAGAATAGCAGAATGTTACTGCAACCTCGGAACATAAACCCACATAACCTGTGAGCTTCATTGTATCAGTTTATTAATGTTGCGTCTTAATGGAAACATTTTTGATTTCAGAGAACTTGGTTTGCAATCGCCAATCTACTTTAAGACAGCCACCTATGGTCACTTTGGTCGAAAGGACTTCCCTTGGGAAAACCCAAAGCTGCTGCGTATATACCCTCGGGATACGCTAGACAATTAAAATCTCCATGAAAGAAGATAAATTTTATATATTGTCAAAAACCCCATTCGTCATCATTAACATTTCGTATAGGCCTTGCGAAAGTATCTGTACTTGCCTTCGTGGTTCACGCCCCCTCCCCTGAACGCCTCTCGTTCGTCTCCTTTTGTACCGCAGTACCTATTTTACTGATGGCATGAAAATGATAATAATGTATGAAGCTGTTGACGTCAACACTCGTCTTCCAGTGGATCCGGCAGTGATTGTGGTTACGAAGATTAGTTAACTGCAAATGCTGATTGTGGTATGGATTGGAAGCCGACAAGCCGTTTGTTTAATGCCGTGGAGATTTAGCTTTCGCCGCCGATAAACGTGACTTAACCTTGGGGGCAGTGTTGCAGCAACCGTAAAAAACCTTTAGTAACGTTTTGTAATGTGGGCAGTCAAGGCGGTCGGGAATCGCCGTGTGTTATGGGTTTCGATCTGCTTGCGTTTGAATTTATCTGGTGTGGCCCCAGACCCGTAGTTGTTTGGCCATGTATTGATTGGCCTCTGTGGTTTCCTCGACGAGTATTGTAGCATTTGTTGCGCAGTCGCGGTTCTGTTAATGTTGCAGCCCTTTTTTAGAAAAATGCCTATTTCAGCACAGTTTGAACATGGATTGGGGTCAGAAGACGTTGCAATGGCAAGCATTCTTGATGATATGGCCATCGGACAAATGATTGAAAGGTGTCGAGTGTGAGATGTCAATCCCAAAATTTCATACCGAGAATTAATTCTACCTTGTTGTCTTCCGCCTCGTCTTGACAATGACACTGTGGTTGTTCGCTCGCTGATTCCCTTTTGAGTAGTTAAACCAGGCCTTTTACTCGTGGTGTTGCCAGACCACCGACACAGACCTACAGATACCCAGGAATGAAGGCAGGTTATAATGACAATCTCGTTGATACAGTGGGCGGTTGAGCCTCTGTCATCTTTGACCTTATTCTTCGGATGCCTCGTATCCTATCGAATGTTGAGAAATTCTACAAGCAAGCCAACACTGTGTTAATTCTAATCCCACCTCGGGAACTCATCAGCAAGAATTAGGATTTTCACGGGAACCCAAAGGGTCACTGATTTCTTGTCTGTCAGCCAAGCTGAATTTACGGTGCACTGGGAACATTAGTTTTAGTGCCTAAGCTACCTCAAGACGCTAGATCTTGGCACATAGATTGTTTTATTTTTTTTACATTTGCTAAAGATCAAGTGAACCCGAGTGACTAATCTGACAACCAAGGTGCGTTAGTAACGAGACTTATTTATGCCTGGTGAAATTGAGGTAGGCGGATGAAGAGTAGGATTAAGACTTCACTGACCGAGTGTAAGTCTGATGGTGTCGAGCCAATAATTCTAGTGATTTGATCTAGCATTGTTGTGTTTTGGTGGCAAATATTTCAGAATGCTTTCACTGTCCTGAATTCAAGCTTATGCCAATGCTCCATGCAGACATGAGTGATTGCAGAGCATTTAGAAAACAAGATAAAAGTCGTGCAGCACGGGCTAACTGGCAGTGGGTGTACGTGAGGTTTAGGGCTGTGTGGCAGCTTCTGTCGCAGACCACGTGATTTATGACGTCCGACAAGAAATCAGCGAATAATATATAATATGCGGAATATTACCACCGGAATTTTTTGACCTGTATAGTCACATGGCTTATTTCGCGCCTTAAAGTGTTTGATGAACTTCCAACGACTCCAAAACCGTTAAACCCTTGTGTTAAGCTTTTAAGCATTCTAAGCTTCTTAAGCCAGAACTCCCTGCGATTAAAATTACCTCACAGAGTAGTCACATTCCAGAAGCTTGTCAATTTCGATGACTAATCGACCAAATTCCACAGTGTATTCGGTATCTCTGTTTGTCAACGTAAATTGAAAGCAGCTACTACCACGCTTCATCAGTGAGGGCAACTTCTGCTATGCTGTGTGAGAAACTGACCTCAAAATGGCCAGACTGGTTGTCGTGAATGGAGATGACGGGGTGTCAGGATAATTTCGCATGACGCATTGTCGACTAAGGGGGTTGTTCCGAAAGAATATCAAGTTTAATGCAGCAAACCTGTAGCAACCACCAAGGCCAAGCGAGGCAGGCACCTACTTGACTTATCGTGCTTGTTAAGATGAGCAGGTGGTTATCGGAGTGCGGCCTTTATAGACCAAAATCCTGATGAACTAAGGACACTTTACTGGGCTTGCTGTCCATCGCGTCTGCAGATGTCGCATCTCTGTAAATAAGAGTTAACACCTGGAAATGTGGGAAGCTGGTTCACCTCCACGCAGACCGACTAACTCGGTGGCACGACAAACAAGTGTGGACTCTGTTGTGGAATGTCGAGAATGGTGATGAAGAGTTGAGTTGATCTTGTGTCGAATGTCTTGACTTCTTTTTCTCCGAGGCTTATGCAAAGCGCTTCTTGGGTGAATCGCGGTGTTTTCAGGGCAACACTATACCTCGTGGTTCCTAACCGAAGAACCTGAATCCA